AATGAAGTGTTATGATTACTTCTAAGTACACAATGGAATTTGAACAAGGTCAAGAAACAATGTCTAGAAAAGGTCATAGTTTACTAATGAGTAGGCTTTATAATTACTGTATCAAAAGAGAATTCAAAAGGCAAACCTCTGATTACATGCACTTATACTGTAAAAACTAAAGCAGATGCTTCTAAAGTTGTTAAAAACAATACTCTAACATCATTAAGGACTGTCTTATAACTTTATTTGCAGCATTAATATTTTCTAAGTCCTTTCAAATACTTAAAAGACTGGTCACCATCTACCCAGGCCCTGACTAGATTATCATAAGTTCCAAATTAATCCAATTTAAGGAGATTTTATTTTAAGTTCAGCTTTTCATTAGCTCTTCACAGACATCTCTGGACATAAACATTGGAAGCCCTTGTAATTTATTAATACATTGTAACTTTTGACTAGGCTATCTTCTGATCTTTAGCCAAGTTAATCCTGAAATGAAGCTAACACAGAGGAACAAAGGAAACAAAATCATCTTCAAAACATCTAAGAAATTGTGTTCAAGGACACAGAGATGTTCTTCAAGAGCTATTCACAGGCTGTGAATTATTGATAAATTGAAGAAATGAACAGATAAAATTTCAAACTATTGGATCAGAATAAATAAAACATTATTGCTGTGTTGATTAAATATATGACAGATGATTAAAATATTTCCCTCTTCTAATTACCATTCATTGTAAATTGAATTTTAAAGCCTTACACTGCTAATTGTTTTATTTGTTTTTGTTTTTCTTTAAATAGACTATAAGCTCTTTAAAGAATTAGGTCTCACACTCATGCTTCCCTGCAATGCCTAGAACGGAGCTGAGTAAATAAAGTAGGAATAACAAATGTCTTATTTCCCATTTCCACTTTAGTGGCAGTGTCTGTCTAGGGAGAAGTACACAGAGAAAGATTGTGAATTCATGACTAGACTACACCAAGCAAGACAGCAGATGATTGATTAGTGATGTCTGCTGTGAGCTCAAGAGGAGAAAGTACAGCATGCATGCCACCTGTTTTCCAATCTCACTTGCAGACATTCATTTCATACTTGTTAAGTGAATAAAAATGTACACAGGAGAAAAGGATGACATCAGGTAAATTTTCCCATTGAGTTTCATCTTTATCCACATTCGATAAAAATCACACTGCATGTAAGTTCATTATTAGGCATGGAATAAATAAGCTTTGAAATGTAAAGGAAAAACAACTAGCTTACAAAATCATGAGATACTTTGTGATCATATCAGATCTATTCTTTCAGATTCTTTATTCAAAACTAATTCACTTGAAATCTTCACACCTCACACTAGTGGCATCAAGGGGCCACCTGCTTTGACACCTGCCAGTGATGGGGAAAAGCTCAGCATTGTCTTCGTACATGAAAGCTTCTCTCAATAAATTCCCCCAAAGCTCAGAAAAACAAACAAAAAAAGCCCTCTATCTAGAAAATGACAAAGCCAAGGATTCTCAGAGCTAAATTCATATGAACAGAAGTGTACACACTGAGGCTGGTTCAAGGGCAAAACATGCGAGCAAATGGGCTAGTTGATCAGCCTCAAATCACTATGGGAGTTCTTCTTGTCTTCATAGCTGGTAGTACTTCCAGTAAGATCAGAAGAGATATAATTACATCTATCCCCTCACACAAACACAGCATACATTCATCTACCCTGACTATATACCTCTAAGCCACACCTATATGAATATGCATATCTCTAATATTTGTAGAAGTTTCAGGGAAAGTCAAGTCCCCCATTAGCTTCTCTCCAGTGAGGTGTATTTAAATTCAAATAGCATGTCAAAGAAATTAGGAAATAGTTATTCCAGTCACAGTTGTGTAAAACTCACATAGCATTTAGGCTAAGAAATACAGCAAGTTAAAACAGAAAAGAAATAAAACAAACAAAAAAACATTGATGAGTCTTATAGAAAATGATTAAAAGCCATGAGTCCACCCATAGCACCTGCTACCTGACACTGGGAAGTCAGCACTCGGTGAGGTGGGTGGTAAAAAGAATCCCCAAGGCCACTGGGTTTGACCCCAATTATCTTCTATTGTAAATAGGCCATATGGCAAATTCCAGGATAAATTGGAAACATTTGATCTGTCTCCTATTCCTAGATTAATTTTAAAAGATTCATTTTCTATTCTTACAGATTCTTTATTTGGGCTGCTTTACCCTTATGCTTTAAAGAAAAGACATCTTATATTTGCCTTTGTATATTCAAGAAGCTTCTCTTTATAAGAATAATTTGGGAAGAAGAGAATTTAACAGTCAGACAGATTTTGGAGGAAAAAATGGCAGGAAATTAGCATACCCAGAATTTAAGGTAATGACTGTACACTGAGTTTTTCATAAGAATCCATGTTAACTAAGGGGGAAAAATATCTAAGAAAACATTTATTACCATGCTTAACAGAGTTGGCTGCTTTAACACATCTCCTCATTTCCCCATGCACATCATTGCTATATCCATGCAAACCAACACAAATAAATTTATCACACATGAAAAAAAACAGTCCTATGAGCCTTTGAGGCATGTTTGGGAAAAAGCTTCCTTAAAACAGACTATT